CACAGGGACCCCCCTTTGAGGACAGGGGCTGGGTCAGAGCAGTCCTGGGAACCCAGGTACCTCAGGGAAATGTTTACTGAATGAAGGAAGGAAGGATTCGGGAGGAAGATGCTGAGCCATGGCTGAGACAGGGGTCTCTAAGAAACGAAAGGAGGGCACTGGTGGGGTTGGGGGAGAGGAGCGAGAACTTGCTAGAGCTCCACTCCACCAGGGCAGTTTTCGTCTGCTTGCTCACGGCTGTATCTCCAGCGTCTAGAACAGTGCCTGGCACACAGTGGGTTCTCAGTCAATATCTGCTAAATGGCAAACAAAACAAAACAAAATTCCAGGAACTCTGATTCCCCCTCCTGCCACTGGCAGCTAAACTAAGGAAGCGTCCTGCATTGAGCTATAGCCACGTGCCAGGCACCCATCAAAGGCGGACCACGCATTCTGTTTTCACTTAATTCTGAGCATGAACCCTCAGATAAAGGCAACAGGAACAGCAGCTACCTCTTGGAAACACACAGGTGTCAGGGAATTTTCTGGCGATCCAGTGATTAGGACTCTCACTGCCGAGGAGGTTCAATCCTTGGTTGGGGAACTAAGATCCCACAAGCCGCACGGCGCGGCCAAAAAAAAAAGAAATGCACACATGTCAGACATGCTCTGGGCGCTTTAGGCGGGTTGGCTCCGCAATCCCACACTGCAGCCCCCTGCTAGTTATTCTTATCTCCATTTCACAGATGAGGAAGCCCTTGGGGCAGTTCACACAGCCAGCAAGAGGCAGAGGCGGAGACCCAAACCCAGGCAGTCAGACTCCCAAATGGTACGATGTGCCCCATTTTACAGATTGAGGAAACTGAGACACCCACCCACCCACCCAAGGGCCCTGTGGGAGCAGAATAACACCCTCGCCCAAGATATCTGTATCTTCATCTCCAGGACATGTGTTGGCGGTACGATACGTGGTGAAAGGGACTTTGCAGATTAAATTAAGCGTCTTGAGATGGGGAGATTCTCCTGGATTATATGGGTGAGCCCAACGTAATCGCGGAGCTCTTACAAATGAAAGAGGGGTCACTATCAGAATCAGAGAAGCAGAGAAGGGGGTGTGATGACAGAAGCACCTCCCACCATGCAAAGGGAGGTAGCCAAGGGATGCAGCCACCTCTAGAAGCTGGAAAAGACGAGGAGGAAATGGATTCTCCCATGAAGCCTCCAGAAGGACCGCAGCCCTGCCCACACCTTGATTTCAGCACATAAGACCCATTTTGGACTTCTAACTGCCAGAAACAGAAGCTAATAAATTTGTGTTGTCTTAAGCCACTAAGTCTGTAGTACTTTGTTACAGCAGCTGTGGGACACTGTACAGGCACCCAGCTCTTAAATGGCAGAGGTGGGATTCGAACTCAAGTCTTGCCAAGTTGAAAGCTCTGGATCTTCCGGGGTATCACTTAGATGTGTGAAGTTTGGAATTATTCCAGATGCTTTTTCCTCAGGATCGCCGGGCTCTGTGTATGTGTGTGTGTGTATGTTGGGGTGGGGTGGGGCGCATGTAGGAGTGAGTCAAGAAACCAGGAATTTGGGAATTCCCTGGTGGTCCAGTGGTTAGGACTCCGAGCTTCCACTACCAAGGGCCCGGGTTCGATCCCTGGTCGGGGAACTAAGACCCTACAAGCATGTGGCCAAAAAAAGAAAAGAAGAAGAAAGAAAGAAAGAAAACGAAACCAGGAATTCTACTTTCATGAGGATTAGAGAATCTGGTCCATAATTACGGCAATGACACCTTAGGGCTGTCATGAGAATTAGTGAGTTAACCCATGTGGAGCACATAGGGCAATGCCTGACATGTAAGATGGGGTAACAGTTACTATCATTATATCTTTTTCATGTCTACATACCCAGCATCAGCTCCTCTCAGTCTTCCCTGCTCAAGAACCTTCCATGGCTCCCCAGTACCCTCAGGATAACATCCAAGCCCTTTATGGCAGTTGAGAGCTTTGGGTCCCGGCTCATTTCTCCTAGTGGACCCCACGGTCTGTAACCCAGCAGACTGCCTACTAAGGAATGTCGCTCTCCACTTGGCTCTACAAAGATTGAGTCATTAGCCACTGGAGTTACTCACTTTCGACACACCCTGAAGGGTGTTCAAGGCAGGGATCTGGAATGCGGCACTCTGTGCTCTGGGAAAGCTGGCAGAACAGGCCTTCAGAGAGTTAGATATTTTCAGGAGAAGATTTTATGAACCCAGTTTCTTGCATCATCTCGTACTTAGAAGAGCACTAAAGTCATTAACTAAGGTATCTGTTCCTCGTGAGTAGCAGCAACTTTCTACAGAGATGTGTGCTTGACGGCATGTACGCCTTCTCCAAAATCACATAGATTCTGATATCGGAGCAGTTCCTCAGAGCTCTCTGAGAGGCTGTTTCGTGGGCCACCGCCCTCAGTATGTCCCCAAATAAAACTGAAACTCACAGCTCTCAGGTTGTGCATTTCTATTTTAGTCGACAAAACAAAGGCACTCAACCCTCAGGTGCCTGGTTTCAGGAACCATCTGGACTCTACTGAGAAGGCCTTGCTGCAGCTTGCATGTATCCTCTAAGTGTGGCCCATCAGACTTTCCTAAATGTCCCCCACAACCAAACGCACACTGCCACCATTGCTAGTTAGCCACTTCCTCTTCTGGGGACCCCCATGCACTGTGCTACCTTCATTGTAACATCTTGTTTTCTCATTATGGATCCATGTGTGTCTGCCCACCAGGCTGGGAACCCACTGAAGGCAGAGATCTTATTCCTGATTGATCGCTGGGCCTCTTCCTTCAAGAAATATTCATAGTGTCTGTCTGTCTGTTCCTCTGCTTTTTTTTTTTTTAACTCACAAGGAAACTGAGAGCTGAAGGTCCTAGTTGCTGGGCCACTGGAAATCCTGCAGCACAGAGGAGGAAAGTGGGTCTCAGACCCTTGAGTCCCCAGATAGCTGGCATTGATGGAATATTATTCAGTCATGAAAAGGCAGGAAGCACTGCCTACTACAACATGGATGAACCTCAAAAACATCATGCTCAGTGAGAGAAGCCAGACATGAAAAGGCACATATTGTATGATTCCATTTATATGAAATGTCCAGAATAGGAAAATCTATATATGGAGAAAGCAGTTTGGTCGTGGCCAGGGGCTGGGGGAGGAGGGAATTGGGAGTGTCTGCTTAATAGGTACGAGGTTTCCTTCTGGGTTGATGAAAAAGCTCTGGAACTTAGATAGAGGTGGTGGTTGCACAACATTGTGAATATGTTAAATGCCCCTGAATTGTATAATTTTAAATGGCTAGGGACTTCCCTGGTGGTCCAGTGGTTAGGACTCGTGCTCTCACTGCAGGGGCCCGGGGTTCACTCCCTGGTTGGGGGACTAGGATCCCACAAGCCACGTGGCACAGCAAAAAATAAATAAAATAAAATAAAATAATAAAATAAAATGGTTACTCTTATGTGAATTTTACTTCAATTACAAAAAAAGAGGGGGCTTCCCTGGGGGCGCAGTGGTTAAGAATCTGCCTGCCAACGCAGGGGACACGGGTTCCAGCCCTGGTCCGGGAAGATCCCACATGCCACGGAGCAACTAAGCCCGTGCACCACAACTACTGAGCCTGAGCTCTAGAGCCTGCAAGCCACAACTACTGAAGCCCACGCGCCACAACTACTGAAGCCCACATGCCTAGAGCCCGTGCTCCGCAATGAAGGGTAGCCCCTGCTCGCTGCAACTAGAGAAAGCCCGCACACAGCAACGAGGATCCAATGCAGCCAAATAAATAAATAGATAGATAGATAGATAAATAAATTTATAAAAAAAAAAAGAGGTGGGGAGCTGAGGGAGGAGGGGCTGGAACTTCCGGGTCTGAGGGAGGAGGGGCTGGGGCCTGGACTCCTGGGTCCTGGGGCAGCAGGAGGGGGCCCAGGACACAAACACCTGAGTACCAAGAGGGGAGGAAGCCAGGAAGTTAAGGCTTGTTCTGCCGGAGAGAGAAGAAAGCGGTCCAGTTAGAGGAAGCAGTCGCTTTCTGGGAGGGAGGTTTCTCCGATGGAGATGTCATCACTAAGATCGTCCTTCCCACTCAGGCCCGGCCTGTGGGGAACTCCAGCTTGATAGAGAGGAAGGGAGAGAGGAAAGCCAGTTTGGGGAGGAGGAAGAGTCACCAGGGTCCCACACCCAACTGCCTCAGGACAGAAACTGCACTCAGAAGGGCGGGCACCTGCAGGTCTGGATTCTCCATCCCCGAGGAGGTAACAGCTGGGAGGATGGACCTCAGGGGCTAGAAACAATTGCATGAGTTCTGGAAGGCACTGGAGGCCTGGACTTCGGGGTCCCCAAGGGAGGAAGGGTGGAGAGAGCTAGAGGCTCAGATTTCTGGGTCTTGAGGAGGACAAGGGCTGGGAGCTTGAACATTGAAGCTATAAAGTGGGAGGAAGGAAGCTAGGGGCCCCTGGAAGCTAAGGTGCTGCCTGCTCGGTTCTGAGACGGGAAGTGGCAGTTTGGGGGTGAGGTCCTGAAGAGTGTGGAGGTCATATTCTTGGCCCGACAGTGTCTTTGGCTCTGCTGGAACGCCGACAGTCCCACCCCACAACCCAGCCCTGTTCCCCAAACCTCTCACGCAGCGCCAGTCCCAGGGCGGAGAGAGCCAGAGGGAGCCCAGACAGGTGAGCATCCAGGGGGAGTCCAGAAGCTGGCAGTGCAGGGAGGGGCTGGGAGAGTCTCAGAAGCTGGGTGGGAGCAGGACAGCTAAGAGAAACTAGGAGATCAGGACAAAGGACTATGCAAAAGATAGGGAATGTTTCCCAAGCAGACAGCTGGCTCATTAGACCGGACCTTTGCCCATTACTTATGCCTGGGAGCCAACGGAGGCCTCAGGGGCGGTGGCCACAATATGACACACCTGTACCCTTAGGGCTGGTTGCTCACCCGAGACAGACAGATAAAGTCGTGACCTCAGTCCCTGCCCCTCTCTT